AAAAATATTCGGTAGTCGGACAAGAACAGATGTGGCAAAGTATTCGATGGTCGATCCAGACCTGCTATGGCAAAAATATTCGATGCTAAGACCAAACCAGATACGGGAAAAATATTCGATGCTCGGACCAGACTTGATATGGCAAAAATATTCGATGTAAGGACCAGAACAGATGTGGTAAAAATATTCGATACTCTGACCAGACGAGATCTGACAAAAGATATTCGATGCTCGGACCAAACCAGATGTGGCAAAAATATTCGATCTTTGGACGAGACCAAACGTGGCAAAAATATTTGATGCTCGGACCAGACCAGATGTGGTCATAATATTCGATACTAGGACCAGACCAGATATGACAAAAATATTCTCGGACAATTATTTTAATAAATTTAAATAAATGTAATTAATATGGTTTATTATAAACAGAGCATTTACTTAAATATTTGTATCTATAAAAATAGCGTATAAACAATATATATATATAACGACAAAAATGGACAAAGTTCGACAATTATTTTAAGATATTTTATTATTATACGTTATAGACACAAACATTTAAGTAAAAGCTTTGTTTATAATGAACAGTATTAACAATATTTACCGGCCTGAACGTCCGAGAAATTATCATAGAAAATATGTGTCCACCGACCGGAATCGAAACTTTATCCTACACGGAACTGTCATATAGCCTGACGTGCTATACCAGTTTAGCTCCGTAGGAGCGTCTGGTGACCAAGGTCGATTTTACTGCTTTTAAACTTCAAATTTCCCATGATTTCTCTCGAAGCTTATCTAAACGTAACAAATAACATCACACACTACGAAAGGGACAAAGTCCGATAATTATTTTAAGATATTTTATTGTTATACGTTACTTATATAGACACAAATATTTAAGTAAATGGTCTATTTATAAACACACACACACACACACACACACACACACACACACACACACACACACACACATATATATATATATATATATATATATATATAAACACAAGACCGATAGTAAATGCTTCACATGTTACAATAAACTCGACCTTATGTCATTTTGTAGGCTGATGCATAAATTCTTCATTCACATGTTTGCTGTATGGCCTGGGTGTTGTTTTTTTTACTGATATAATAAGGTGGGAACACAGCCAAAATTTGGCATCTATGCGAATTTCTAAAAGATGGATAACAATCATTATTATGTTTTTCCATTCGCATCAGTTTTTTCTCGCTGGTTTATTCAAATTGCTGCGTTTATTATTCTGCCGCATTAATCTTGACTTTAATTTTATTCTGTTCGAAGAGGATTGACCAAGGCCACCGTTTAGCCAAATCAGATTCACTCTTCAATCATCATCAATCATCATCATCATCATCATCATCATCATCATCATCAATTGTTATATCTCTTGTAAAAGTCAGATATATTCGAATTTCTGAGATTAAAAAATAGCCGAATAGATAGTTTTAAATGTTTAAAAAATAAAATTCAGGTTAAACTTTCTTCGTCTAGGGTTAACCGTTCTCTTCCCCACATATGCGCGCAATCTTTGCCTCTTACTCTGTAACGCTCTATCTTGAGTGGCTCTCAAGCCTTTTACAGGGTGAACAACATAGTAAAAAGACAACAACAATTCACTGCTGACCTGATATGTCACTTGCCTGTTTAGCTCTTTGAAAGAGAATCAAAACAAGATTTTATTAATTTTATATTAGGACCTTAAATAAGTTCTCACTGATTTTTCATGAAAAATAATGTTTTATTTACAAAAAATTAGTAAGAAACATGTCACTGAATATATTGTCCATCGCTAGCCACTACTTTTTCCCATCTTTCTGGCAGCATTTGAATTCCACGTCAGAAAACGACAAGTCTTTTTTAGGCTAACGACGAGTCGACCCATTTTTTGGCATCTTCATAAGAATGAAACTACTGCTCAGCCAGGCCATGTGCCATCGATCGGAAGAAGTGGTAATCGGAGAGGGCAATGTATGGTGATTACGGCGGGTGGGGTAGGTCTTCCCATTTAAGCGTTTCTAAGTAGGTTTTCAGCTGTTTTGCAACATATGGCCGAGCGTTGTCATATTGCTCGCATAGCTGCCATCTTTTTCTTCAATTCTCGGTTCAAACGCATCAATTGTAGTCCACAGGTATCTCCCGCGATGATTTCGGTTGGTCTGAGCAGCTCATAATAAACTACACCCAGCTGATCACACCAAACGCAGAGCAGAAGCTTTGGACCATGGATATTCGGCTTTGCCACTGAAGGTGATTCATGGCCGGGCTTACCCCACAATCTTCTATGCTTAGAGTTATCGTAGCGCATCCACTTTTCATCGCCGGTGACAAGACGCCATTCGACGTCTCTCGACTTCAACACGTACGTTACCCAATGTCCTTGCTTTTGAATCATTTCTAATGCTTTCAAACGTTTCGAAACTGTTGTGAGATCAACTCCTAATGATTCTACAAGTTCAGCTTGCGCCTGATTTGACTCTTCATAAATTAATGCCTCCAATTCTTCGTCTTCAAACTTTTTCGGTGCGCCAGAGTGTTCTTTATCTTCAACATCAAAATCATTAATTTTGGAAGCGTCTAAACCAATCTCTGCATGGTGTTTCCGACAGAACATGGTCGCCGTAAGTCTCAACAAGAATTTTGCGTGATTCAACTGCAGATTTCTTTTGAATAAAGTAGTGCATTAAAATTCCTCGCAAATGCACTTTCTTTGGCACAAAATCCGAGATGCTTAACGCTATAAAAAACAAAATTGTTTACACTTCGGCGAAATGACATACACTGAATTTCAAGCTTGCTTATAGTACTTCCTTATAGATGCTTTACCACCTGGAACTATACGCACGCAGTTCTGGGAACGCCATCTGTTGAAAAACAGCGAGAACTTATTCAAGATCCTAATATTTCTATTTGCTTTACGTCTAAAAAAATTAACCAAATTAGTTCAGTAACAATTCATTGGTGACGTTTCTCCCACTGAACCAGAGTATATAACTTATTTGTAATGCTATCCATCCCAGAGATCAAAATAACGCCTGTCTCAGGAAACCAGACATGCTTTAATCAAGCCTTTACTCAATAAGGTCATATCACATGGACAAATCAGTGGCGTAATTATGGAACCTTAAACTTAACGCCTTTATATAATTGATGGTTAGTCCTTTATTCACACTTTCCTTTACTGTATTGTCTAGGAGTTCCTGCAGCTTTCTTTTCGTGTCTACCATCAACACGATGCCATCTGCATATCTTACGTTGTTAAGATTACGTCCAGCAATAATGAATCATAGTTGAATTTCTAGTTTTCTTAGAATCGCCTGGACGCGTACATGTCTCACTCCACTTTCAATATATTTTTATTTCTTCAATTAATTTTATATTCGCATGCAAGCAGTGGTCGTTAGCAAAAGGAGCAGCGTAAGATGCAAGCTACAAATTAGGGACGTGACAATTAAGCAAATACTGAAATTTAACTAACTGGGGAGTGTTTTAACAAACGACGATAACTGTGACTCGGAAATCCGAATGCACATTGGAATAGCGAAAGATGCTTTCCAAAAATTAAATAAAGTATTAAGAATCAGGAAAATTTTTGTTAGAAACAAAGAGAGGTGTGCTGAATATCTGTCTATATATCTGAGATGAGGTATTATGATTACCTACATTATTTACATTATTCGGACTGTTATCCTCATCTTCATTGCCATATTCACAATGTTTCAACCGTTGTACGCCCCGGCCTTCTTTAGATGGAACTAGAACAATCTACCCCAATGGACGAAATAAAGGGTTCTCTTCGAAATTCCAATCACCTGACCAAGGCCGTTGCGTACAACGTCCGAAACGTTGTGAATATGACAATGAAGATGAAAATAACAGTCCGAATAATGTAAATAATGCAACAATCATAATACCTCATCTCAGAGATATAGACAGCCATTATATCACTAGAAGCTAGTCACTGGATCTAACCAACGTCTTTATCCACTGGGCCATGTGTCCTTGTGAATATGGCAATGAAGATGAGGATAACAGTCCGAATAATATAAATAATGTAAGTAATCATAATACCTCACCTCAGAGATATAGACAGCCATTATATCACTAGAAGCAACTCACTGGATCTAACCAACGTCTTTATCCATTGGGCCACGTGTCCCTGTGAATATGGCAATGAAGATGAGGATAATAGTCTGAATAATGCAAGTAATAATAATACCTCATCTCAGAGATATAGACAACCATTATGTCACTAGAAGCTTGTCACTGGATCTGATGAAGATGAGTATAACAGTCCTAATAATGTAAATAATGTAAGTGTGCTGAACAGTTATGTAATATTAATCCTCCAATATAGTAGGGAATGTTGCACAATTTCCTTACTGATGAGGCAACAGAGAGGTGCTTCTACAAAAGGCTACGGAGAATTTCAGAGACGGAACATGTGAACAACAAGGTCATTTTAAGGAAAATGGTAAGAAAATGATACGTGTACTTAGAATTAGAAAGATACTTGAATTTTCTGGGAACCATAATGAGGAAAGATGGATTTGAAAATTTGATATTCAAAGAATATACTGAAAGCAACAGGAGCAGAAAGAAACTTACGATCTAGTGTAACTATTCTTCTGTGTTTTGTTTTGTTCAACGCCATATCAACCTCAATGAGTTATTTAATGCCGAAATCTAAATCCTAATTAACCCATAGCTGGGGGAGAAGAAATAGGTTCACACCTTTCCCAAGGGTATTTGCGCGTAAGTTAATATAAAGAATGCAACTGGAATGGAACTCGGTTCTCCAATTAAAAATTCCTAGAAATTATTCATTACACCACCCCCAAACTTACCTAGTATTCACAAGAGGTCACCCATCTAGGTACTGACTAGGGTCGACGTTGCTTAACTTTGATGATCGTACGGAAAAACGGCATTTCAACGTGATGTGACCGCAAACACATTGCACCACAAAACATCCAACTTACAGCACCTGGTATTCCCAAGCGCTCACCCATCTAGATACTGACCAGGCTCGACGTTGCTTAACGTTGGTGATCGTATAGGAACCACTGTTCCAACGGGATGTTGCTGTAAACTATTTACACCACCCACACATCCAACTTACAGCACCCGGTATTCCCAAGCGGTAACCCATCAAGATACTGACCAGGCTCGACGTTGCTTAACGTCGGTGATCGCACAGAATGGGTGTTTAAAATTGATGTTGCTGTAAACACATTACACTACTCACACATCCAACTTACAGCACCTGGTATTCCCAAGCGGTCACCCATCTAGATACTGACCAAGCTCGACGTTGCTCAACGTCGGTGATCAACGTGATGCGGCCGTAAGCCTTACTGTAAATGGATGAGAGATCAGTGATCGGGAACGACAGTAAAGGATCAAACATTGCCTAGGGCTACAAAGGATAGGAAGTTGTGAGGACCATGATTGCCAACGTTCTCAAAGGATAAGTGCTTATTAAAGAAGAAGCATCCCACAAGCAAGGTTTTGGTATCTTATTTGTTTTTTTGATTTCTTATCTTCTGTTTTAACCCGAGCTTCTCTGAAACGGCTGTACCGACTATTTGGAAATTATTATTATTATTATAATTATTATTATTATTATTCGCCTATTCGCGGAAGCACAGCTGTTTTTATAATAGAGGTGTGAAATGCGATTCCTTGCGTAACAGAATCGCCTTAATTATGTTTTTTCCTCCTTTGTGGTTGGCCGGCTGAAGAGTAACATAAGTAATTAACGTAGAGAAAAGGTAAATAAAAAGAAAAAAAATGGCGTGATAATAATCAATTTTCTTCTGCTGCTATCCGCTACCCTACCCCCTAACCCCTGCCCCTAAGCAAACAGCACCCCTCTCCTCTCTTTTTGCAGTGAAGCAGCTCCAGTTCTTCAAATGCTCTACCTATAATAACGACTCCTTCCGCTATTGCTTCAGTTCAGTGGCAAAGCAATAAAATGCTGTGTTGGTGAAGCTCTGTCTCGCACAATCTTCATAGACACAGTAGTGTACTGGTCGGATGTATTACCAGCTGGTGCTAAAGTTAAAATATACTAAAACGATTTCTCTTTTCAAACGCCATGTCCCTTCAAGACGTAAGCAATTATGACACTTCAAACATTTTATTTATTAACATATGTGTTTTTTCTATGGCTTCTTGGGAAAGATAGTGGAGTCGTTTCCCATTACTTTCTCCACAGCTTGGAATTCCAGAATTTTCTTTCTCTTAGATTGGTTGCTACTCAAGAATAAGGAGCGCAGTGTATTCTGCTATTTAACACATACAAGGGGAAGGGGGAGATTCATGCTTTTCTCAAGGCATTTGTGAGAAAGTGAACCTCCATGAACTTGACCGGAATCTGAACCCAGTTCGCCAGCACAACTTTGTTACACCACCCGCACAACTATAATTACTGCAACTACAACTACTATTACTACTACTGACTACTGCTATTATTACTGCTACTGATTGATTTGTTTTTTGTTTTTTACGGCTTATCGACCTTACTACTACTGATTACTAATGCTGCTATTAATTATTGATTAATTTGTTTTTACAGCTTATAATCTTTACTACTATTAAAACTACTGATTATTACTACTATTACTACTACTATTAATCGATTTGTTTTTACGGCTTATCAATTTTACTACTATTACTACTGATCTTTACTATGGCTACTACTACTATTGATTGACTGATATTTTACGGCTTATCAACCCTACTACTACTATAACTACTGACAACTGCTACTGCTATTGATGTATTTGTTTTTTTTTACGGTTTATCAACTTTACTACTACTACTGGTGACTATTACTACTATTGACTGTTTTTCACGAATTATCAACCTTACTACTACTACTGATTATTACTATTGCTACTAATACTATTGGCTATTACTATTGTTACTCCTAATATTTTTTTACGGCTTATCCACCTTGCTACAACTACTGATTTGTTTTTACGGCTTATAAACTTTACTACTACTAAAACTAGGAGGCTGGTGGGATAGCGGCTCGGATTGAGAAATCGGAGATCCGAGTTCGAAATCCAGTCAAATCCATTACATTTACTTACGTGCTAATATCCTTGGGAATGTTATGAATCCTCTTCTTCTCTCCTCAGCTGTGCGTAAATAGCAGGACAGATCGGGTTCTGTAGCCTTGGATGGCACCTGGTTTATCGCAGAAAGAATTGGCAACCTACTTTGAAAAAAAATCTGCCTCATCAGTCATGTATCGAAAGATACATGATCGCCTAAGCGTGTATCACGCATGGCACATAACTGACTTACTAATAAAAACACTGATTATTACTACTGTTACTAATACTACTATTGATAAATTGATTTTACGGTTTATCAACTTTTCTACTACTACTACAACTACTGACAGCTACTACTATTATTGATTGATTTGTTTTTTACGGCTTATCAACCTTACTACTACTGATGACTATTACTACTACTATTTATGAATTATCAACTTTACTACTACTACTGATTATTACTATTGCTACTACTACTACTGTTGGTACTACTATAATTGATTTTTAACGGCTTATCAACCTTGCTACTACTACTGACTATTACTACTACTATTGATTGATTGATTTTTTACGGCTTATCAACCTTATTGCTACTACTGACTATTACTATTGCTATTATTACTACTGATTGGTTGATTTTTTACGACTTATCAACCTTATTACTACTACTACAGCTACTGATTACTGCTACTACAATTGATTGGTTTGTTTTTACAGCTTATAAACCTTACTACTACTACTAACTATTACTACGACTACTGTTGATTGATTGTTTTTACGGTTTATCATATTTACTAGTAATACGACTAACTGTTACTACTATTAGTAATAATAATAATAATGATGGAGAAATGACAATGACGAACGCGACTTTGAAAGAAAAATTACTACAAAAATCCATGTAGAATTTAAGGGACATATTGAAACAAGAAAAAAGCCATACACATGATTACGCAGAGGACATCTAATAAAACGTAACTTCTTGCCACTAGATCCCATAAAAATGAATCAGGATCATTTAAATGAAAATAGACAAAGCACTGAAAAAAAAAGTAAATAGCAGATGTTGTCTTTGCGGAGAAAACAATGCAATTGTAAGGTCATTAATAAATAAATACAAAATTGCAAAAACGAAATATAAAGAAAACTTGATAGGCACAACAAATTGTGAAAATGAAAGAGGTTCAATCTTGTAAATGAGATGCGATCAGCACAAACCAGAAGTTGTTACAGAAAATCAAAATTGTAAAATACTCTAGTACTGCACACCGATCACACCCAACCACAAGAAAACTGAATCTGATACTTGTAAACAAGGGAAAACGGTACCTGGCCGATTGTGGACGTAAATGTGTCATCAGACTATAGGGCGAAGATGAAAGAGTTAAAAAATAACTTGAACAAATTTCAAGACCTCGTCTGTTAACTGAGAAAACTTTGATGCATAAAAGTGACAGTCATGACCAGAGTTCTTTGAGTTCTTGTATGCGTGTTAAAAATAGGAACAATTGAAACTCTCCAAAGCTCAACAGCGTTGGTATTTTCGATGATACTGAGGAAGGTTCTTGAGATTTGATTTTACATTCTCTCCATACATGACGTGGTGATAGCGGATTCATGAAACCATATAATAATTATCAATGTATATTTATTTATATATTTCCTGTCCCATCTGTATTCGGGAGGGAGATAAATAAACTTAAGTTATTAAATTTATAAGTGATTACTTCCCTTGATCGTTTTAAAAATCTATACAGAGAAAATATTTATCTGCATTTAGACAAAATTAGTTCTCGAGCAAAATGAACCGTTTAATTAATCAGTTCTATTTCTCCTACATTTCTTAGATTGCAGTCTTATTTGTTAAAACCTTTCAGATGAGGCACTCAGATATCTTTGTTCAGTAACCTTGCCCCAACTTGGTATTGAAATAGGCTTTGTCGTTGCCGTCGTCGTAGTTCTGTTGCTAATCTTTTTCTTCTTAGAGATATTTCCATTCCACTGTTCTATTAAACACATAATCTTTTTAACATTAAATCTTATTAACCAGAAAAGTAATATTTTAATACTAGGATTAATCAAGGAATTATAGATATCATCGAACGTTTAAAAATATAAAGCGAACGGATGAATTAAAAGGTTCATTGACTTTTATTTTAATTGAATATTCTTTATGTAGGCTTTATTAGAATTTCAATATATTGTTTAAAATCTTTTGTTTAATTGCATCTTAAAACTTTCCAACAATTGCCATATGTTTTACGGCACGAGTACAACAACAACAACAACAATAATAATAATAATAATAATAATAATAATAATAAATGTAGCACATGAGAACATCAACAATCCCTGTTGTAGTTTGAGTCCTCGGATTGGTTGGAAAAGATTCCAGTAGACTAATTGAAGGGATTCCTGGAAGCCCATGCCTTAAAGAAATATATAAAAAAAAGTTCTCACGAGTACAACCCACATCTTATGAAGAACTTTATCTATGTAATTTTTTTAGTTGGTCAATGAAAAATGTCATGATGCCATTTCTAACCTTAGGTCTCTGAGCAGGACCCGGAAAGAAATGTGTACACAACAGAAATCAAAGGAAATAAAATAATAATAATATGCATAGTCCCTGTGGCTTCTAATCTTATTTGATTCTAGGTATTAACATGTTTAGACTTGATGAATCAAGACGGGCTGTAGAAAGTATCCCGTTCAGTTGACCATATCTAGTTGGGCGTGTCCACTAGATAAAATCAGACGTAGAAAATTAGATTCAAATGGTTGATTTGGGGGCTGAGGTACCGTGCATCTCTGTTCATGAGCAGGAGTAGCGGAAATACATCATGAGTAATTGTTGTTAGTCTTTTTTCTTACGTTGAAGGGTGAGACAAGCAAAACGACTTGAGAGTTATATCTCGATATTAGGATACCCTTAATCGAACTGGGTCATTCCCCCCCCCACCGACAGATATTTCTAATTGGGATGCTACTATAAAAATCAGTTACCATACCGCGCTTTAATTTGGCTATGCCATGTATATCTTTATCTGTGTGTCATGACGAGTATATTAGGTTTTCTATAGTTGTAGCCCAGAGTCACTTCCCTCTCACTCTCTATCTTTCTCTCTCTCTCTCTCTCTGT